TCGCATCGTTTTCGTGTCACGACAAAGAACTTAATTTGTACAATTTTGACATACTCGGGTACCCCGTGATAAATACCCGTTTGCGTTTTGCATTTCACATGAACGTTTACGTGTACGCACAGAGATTGGTTCAATTCGAGTTGTAGTACAGCAGTTCTTGAATTCGCATTACTTCGCGGGGTCCTAAATGAGTCAAAGTCCCTATGGTTCCAACAAAATAGGATGCACTGGGATAGAGAAGACAGCAAACTAGCGTTTTCGTCCGTGAACCGCGTACCATATGTCTTATGGTTCACCCTACCGGTCTGTTTTTTTGGGGGTGGGATGGGATGGGGTGGTTCCGCCAAAATTGGTAGTTATATCATAAGAGAGAGAGAGAGAGACAAAGCTTGGGAAATTAGAACTGATCGGATGAGTTAGTTCTTGTTACGAAATATCGATCCGATTTTGGCGCTAGATTGTTAAGGTAGCATTGGCCTCCGGAAATCCGGATGCCCCTGGGGAAATGTAAATAATCCATTGATCAATCATATCGATTGTAAAGGTCACTTGTGATGTGGTTCAGTTGTCCAATCGTCTAAAGTAGTTTTTTTATTGATATTGACAAGTAAAATGACAGAGTATTGGTGACAGGCTTGAGATAAGGAGTGCATACCAGATCGATTGGAATAGCATGTTCCACGTATCCCTCGCCTTCCCGGTTCAGAAAATGAATCCCATGGGAACAGGTACAGCTATGACGGTACAAAGGAGAAAAAAAGTTACTCACAATATGTCAGTTCAAAATGGAAAAAGTCTCCCCATAAAATCGTTTATGTGTTTTCGACAAATAGAATTGACTTGATTTCATAAATTTTTCCTCGAAAGTGCATGAATTTTGTGGAATTGTTATCCAACCAACTTCGTCATAGATTTGAATCCGGAAGCAACCGTGTACTCGTGCGAGGATCTAGTGACATCGATATTACTACCGTAGGACAATCTGTTAGATCTTTGCATAGTATACAGATAATACTTTGAAGATCGAGGTAAATTTCAAGCTCTGCCCTATGGTTGAATGATGTTTAACATAACACCATTAGGTTGGATAAATTTTACCATTTGAGCTATCATATCTCGACTGCCGGGAGGATCAGGGATAAAGTGTCGGTACGCACACAGAAGGTTAGATTGGCATTTGCCAACTTAAGACATTTGTGGCACCGTCACGATACCCGGCTACAGCAGTTTCACCAGAGCCGTTATACGGCTCTCAGACTTGACCGTTGAGAAAACAAGATAAAGATAGACTGTCAGTGTTTGAACACCGCTGTCTACACAGTATTGCACGAATCTGGTGTGGCAACCGGACGAGCAATACTGAGGGGCTAGGCGCAGAGTTTTAGGCGACCGCGGTCGCCCACTTGCTCCAGTGGGCGACCTCAATGGAGTACGTTGGTTCGGGCACGTGTTACGCATATCGCCAAATAGACTATCATGACATGAAATGTTTGCCAAGACAGCTGGTGGTGAGTGGATGTGTAGAAAAAGCCAAGGGTGGTGTGGAAGTCCTCCTCATTAGGAGACTTGGACATGAATGTCACGAGTGGCTTCCTTGCGGGGTAGGGGGGGAGGGAGGGACCTCTAAATCATTATAACCGGTGGCTAGGTAGATTGGATGACATATACTGGAGTGTCGTAACCAGTGGCGCTCATGTATCCACTCATTCTTTTTGCTTGAGTTCTCTGTTTTCACATTGACGCTGCTTTCAATATTCCAGTTTTTCATCCGTAGCGAGTAGCCAAAAGACAACAACTATGAGCCACCGCTAGAAAGTGCATGGTTAAGCGTGGCATAAATTTAATAATAAAGTATGCTTGGACTGCTTATTATCTTCTATATTTTAATCGGTTTTTTCCATCATTTTCACTCGTCATTTTCACAGACAATTTGAAACCAATGCTAATCGATAATGGACTGGCGTAGTCGATTAGTCTTAATTGTCAAATAGTTCCCATCTCCCCCCGTTTTCTCACATGTTCTTGGACCTCCTATTTTTTTTCTCTCTCTCTCTCCACTGCTCTCACCAGGCCGACGTTGCATTTGTGCGGACATGATTTCACCGGTTACGGGGTGATGTGGAAACGAGGCACATTGTTTAGTAATGCTGCCCTACAACTCACAGCCACTTTCCCTCCTACCGGATGTCGTAAACCGGACTCATCTACGTCCACTTCTACGCGTCACCCGGGTCGTGGACGTACTCGGCGGTCGCGTACAATCACACACAGTGATCAACCTATTTCCGACCTGACCCGACATCCCGCAGACTCGCTCCCTCCACAATTGCTANGCTAATATCTGATACATTCGAACTGCGTAGTGGTATTCGCGAGCCACCGCTATATACGAAGAAGCCGAACGGTCGACCACGGCCACCCCGATGGCAACGACGACTGCCGTACGCCCTGTCCCGTCTCTTTTTCGGTGGTGGTGGTGGTGGTGGTGGGGATAGCGGTGACGGTCTCGCGCGCACTCAAGGTTGTGCGGCCAATTGGTCAGCATTGTTCCGTCGACCGTGGAATCGCTCCAAACCGGCTGTCCTAATTTCTGAGACTCAGAGTTCCCGAGCAGCGGCCGAGCACGCCGGCAGTGACATGGGTTTTATTTACGATCCGGATATGCGTGCTGGTATCGGAGCGATGGCGATTGTGGATTCGGTCGGTGGAAGCGGGAGTGGAGCGGGTTATTCGGGTGGAAGTACCGGTTTGACCGGAAGCACTCTTTGCTCATCCATGTGTCGTCGAAATCCGATCGTGATCGATGTGTACGTGGTCAGTGATGATCCGGATGCAGTTGTTCTACCTCCATATGCCTGTTCCATCACTTCCGCATCCAATCCCTTTCCGTTTCAGCCTGTTCCATCCAAATCGACACCATCCACCCTGTCCATCACCACTAGGTTTGACGCACCCGATCCAGGCGACCGACCAACGGGATCGGCGACCTAATTGTTTCCTTGCTCTCTCTCTCTCTGTTCCACTCGGAAGGCTTCCTCAGTGCTTTAAAACTTGTAACATATATTCTGGTGGACACAAGCCGTTCTTTGGTGAAGCCGTTTTCACTTGCACATTCGTGTGCTCATTGTCGTCCTCACTCGGACAGCTCTTGAGCATGTGCAATTTCATTCTTCCGTCCGTCACTCAGTTGATCCATTCATCCGTCCATCTCTTTCTCTCTCCTCCCTCTTTTCCGCCTATTTGTCCGTCCACCTCTCCGTCCGTCTGTC